GAAGATGGTAAACGTGACAAATCACTTCTCTGACAATCCCTCAAATAAGGACTCCTGTGGCTTCAAAAGTTTTCGGATAATATGCATTGAAGAATTGAAACTCAGAGTCAAAGTGAGGCCAAGTGCTACAGTGCGAAGAGCAGTGAGTTTTAAGTTGGTAAGGGCACCTTGAGAATTGAGAATGAAATAAAACACTGCTACTATGTCACTTTCAACATAAGCACAGATCATACATACACTGATGTAGAACACATACCTTGTGACAATTTTGTGCATGTTGAGGATGATAATGAAAAGAAAATTGCAAACTGTGCACGTTAAATTGTAAACTGTAAAAAAGATAAAGTTCCTCATCAAAAGTTCGTCACTGAGAGAACAATAGGGTATGATCACACATAAGACGAGCAAATACATGTTGGATGAAAACCAATCACTTCGAATCAACTTTAAAAAGTTTGTCGAGACGGTCCAAGTACTCGCACTATCAAACCTACTGTACATGAAAAAACAAAAGATTTGAAAAAGTGGCCACCAGACAACGAGATAGCATGCTATATAATCTGCGTCATATTTTAGCCACATATCTGAATTGGGTTTATTCAAATATTCTAGAAGGACTTCCCAAAAATTCCTTGGTCGATAATTTTCATTTAAATCAAATCGAAAAAAAGACCACCCTCCACTTGATATACCTACAGGGAGCGCTGCTAGAGTGACAATCGTATAACCAAGACCTACTACAGAGTAGCGAATAATTCGTCCAAATGTCCTCGCCAAACGCATCATAATACTACAACGCATGTTGTCACTTGTTCTTAAATTACTGTCAGAGTTGTTTGTAACCATAAGAGGTTGTAAGTCATCTTCATTTTCCTCACCAATGATGTCTCGTATGTTCTGTTCCTGACTCTCCTCAACTCTTGTGACTAACTGCGCACTTTCCTCGTTGCCAGCTGCAGACTCCTCGTCGACTTGTTGTGCTGTCGTCGCACAACAGAGTTTCTTCTTTCGTCTTAGCCATTCGAGTGTGATAACTGGGCCCAAAAGAAACCAGTAATAAAGTTTCTCTACGTATTTTTCCAGGTTGCGTAGCTCGTCAGGCCCTTGTTCAGTTTCTATGATGCTTACAATTGTTTTGTCTACACCTTTAAGGAAATCATAGCCGGCATAAACAGGATTGTAAGCATCTGATTTCGTGTTATTGAAACAATTCCCAGCAAACGCAAAGGGAATCAATTTCTCCTCTTGAGTACGAGGTTTTGTTACATTTCCACAATATCCTCCGCCAAAATATATCAGCACAGAGTATCCTGCGTTCTGTGCATTGAGTAATAGATCTCCACACGAAAATGCAGTGATTGAAAATGGATCCTTTAAAAAAATGACGAGAGCGATTTTGTCGACATGTATTCTTGACTTGCGTACATCAACTAGAGGTTGAGATGCATTGGCCAATTTGGAAAGCACTGCTAGACCAGTCAAGCGAGTATCTTGGTCCTTGCTAGTTTTCGATGCTTGCAGAAACGATTCTATCGAAATATAGTCATCTAGAGCTGGAGCAAAAGCACTCTGGAGATCACAAACCACTTCCGGGACGATTTGGAACGATAAAGTTGTTCCTCTTTGTGGGGAATCTGGACGGCATAATCTAATTGCTCTGACATAATAAAATGCGCAAAGAGTCAGGAAAGAGAAGCAGAGAGAACCAACAATGATCGAGCATTTGCCTAACATGCTGACTTTTAACGCTGAAGTGATAGTACCGAAATTTGATATTGAAGAGAGATGGCCAACAAAGGACCATTACCCTTCCGCTGACCGAAAACAGTAGGCTGATTTAGCAACAGGACGGGAACGTCTGATGACGACTGCAGGGCGCGCGGAATAACTGGATTCTGCTCTAATTTGACCATATTTGGATATTTCTACTGCGCGCGCCGTCGTCAAGTGACGTTCCCGTTCTCTTGCTAAATCAGCTTAGTACAAGGCGCGACGTGCTTGCAATGGAAGTATCAAAGTATCAAATGTAAGCAGAGTCAGATCAAATTTTCAACATTTATGTTATCGAGTTTTCTACGTCAAACACGTCTTGTACTTCTGGGGATGTCGCTTATTTTATGATCAGTGCTTCAGTTACTCCTCACAACAATACTGACCGCCGTAATTTAACCTACTTGCATCATTTCTCCGAAAGTTCCTCAAACAAGGATTCCTGTTGCCTCACAAGTTTAATGATTCTGTGCAATTAATACTTGAAACTCAGAGTCATAGTGAGGCAGATCAGAGGAAATGGCGTTCAGGAAATCATAAGTAAGATGATAAATTAGTAGAGTCTATTTAAATCTCGAGAGACACGAGGTTTCCTGTTAAGATAATTTTCGTTTACTGTCAGTGAGGCTGTCTGTACAGTGGATTTCATTCAAAACTTTAAGCATCAAATTCGGAGTGAGAACACGGTTCAGAGAAAGAAAACAACCAATAAGCGCTTTTTTGCTAGTTTAATAAGGTAACAAGTCATTTTGAAGGCGAAACAAAATTCAATCAAAGGATGTCTTGTAATGTAAATTTGTTAACTTCCTGTTGTGACAGGTTTTGTCTGTTTTCTGCTCACTACATGTATTTTGTTTCACTTTATTGACTGCAGTTTATGTAATTGTCATTATTCATGTTTAGTCCTTTGACACCTAAAAGTGACCAGCATCTAATTTCTCTTTCCAGTATCACCCCTAACAAATAAAAAGTTGATGAAAATAAAGAAAATGATTACCAATTAGGAAGCTTCTGAATGCATGCCAAACAAATTCTTCTTGCCATTACCACAGGAAATATAAAAGAGAAAAGGGTGGAGAATATGAATCATAATGAAAAGGTGAAAAGCATTTAATGATGGCAGGTGCATCATTAGGAAAAGTGATAACAACATAAGTTAAAAGGTACTCTTTAACAAAAGCATTTTCCACACATAAAAAATCTTCCAAAATCAATGATTACAGTTTTGCCCTATTTATTCCCTTTTACCATTTGTGTTAGAAACCTGGCGAGGATGTCATATATCCCTTTTTTAAATTAAATTTCTGTGCCTTATGATTTTTTTCTTTACATTACGTTTACTGTAAGCTACATGTAGGCAGAGTACCTTAGTTTAGAAGTAAAACCAAAATAATTTATAAACATGACTTTTTACCACAATTGGCAGTAATGTCACAATCTGATTTGCCAATTTGCCGTTGTCCCTAAGAGTACAGACAGTGCTGCTGCCATCAACCCATCATGCAATGTGTTGCACACTGACAGAATAATTTTATTTGACAATGATATCGCGATAAAAAGCAAATCGAAAGTGGTTTAGCACAGTCTGTACTCTTTCATCATCCCTGTGTTCAAAATTTGTTGCGGACTCACTCATGACATTTTGACTGCTGTGATGACCAATATGGTTGTAGATAAGAGTACACACCAAGATCATCCTTTGAGTTAACGCACTTAAGTTTCAGAGATTATAGCCAGTTTTGACATTTGTATATCAAGGAGAAAAGAGATGAAGTTATGTCATGCAAACACTTCGATTGCATTAACCCTGTCACTCCCAATATCAAAATATCAATTCTCTGCACTGTTCTCCATATTGTATATTGCTTATAATTTTGGTTTTGACAACATGGAGTCAAATTAAGCTCTATCCCTGTCTTTGAATATGTATTAACCCTTTGACCTCTACGAGTGACTGGCTTTTAATTTCTCCTTACAATATCACCGCTGTACCAAACATTAAGATTGTGAGAATAAAGGAAATGATAAGCAACTAAAGAAGCTCTTGACCGTTTCCCAAATTCTCCTTGTCAGCATCATAAGAAATGTATGGAGAACAATATAGAGAATATGCATACTGATATTAGGGTGTAAAGGGTTAATATTGTAAGGAAAAATTTCTTAACTGATTGACTGGTGACTGCTGCCTGCATTTCATTTCATCACTTGAAAAGGGAGTCTTACCACAGGTTGCCCAAGCTCGCAAAACAAGCCGCCATAAATATGCAGTTATGTTGATGATGCACTATGGCTGAAAGATAAGGTTTTTCCATTACATTGCGTGAGTTTCTTGTGTTGAGGTAGGATCCTTTGACTCAGTTATAGTTAAGCTGCTTTGCCCTCCATATAATCCTTTTAGTTCATACAAATCCTTATATTTCCAATCCACCACTGCACAACATCAATGCACATTTACAGAGTCCGGCACTTCAGCAGCTTGGACCACCTGTGGTCTCACTTCCCTTAACAGAGTGTCTAATCTCACTTTTCAAATGCAAACGTAATTTGTAACTCTCTTTGTAAGTTGACCACAAAACTGCAGCCAGTCCACTAATAATCAGCCCACCACCTGCACACTCCAGCAGCTGCGGTGTCTGTCCTAAACATATGGTGGACAAAAGTGCACAAAATAATGATTGAAGAGGCCAAGAGCAAGTGATGAGAGTGGATGGAGGCAACATGTTTCACCAAGAAAGAAGCGAATAACACATTGTTGAAGAGACCACAATTGCATACAGTAAGCAATAGAATGTTTCCTTTGTAAAACTTGTGAACTTTTTAGGCTGATTTGAATAAGTTAATGAGGCAAATGCTAGATAAACTGTTGCAAAAAAGTAACTCCATGCTGGTACAGCCAAGGCTGGTTGTTCCTTCCAAGTTGAGTGGAACTGATTAAAAATATATTTCTTCTGAATAATGTAGTACAAGGCTGTGCTGGAGGTTTTCACAAAGAGACAAATGCAACCAAGAAATTGAGTCCCAACTGATGAATCTTGTAATTAAGCCAGGATTTTTCACTGGAAGTACTTCGCAGTTTTCCTAACGTCATTGTCATAGCACCACAAACTGCCAATAAAATTCCTAAAATTTTAGCCCAACCATAGCTTGTTGGTAGCTTTGGAGGTGGTTCTGCTCCAGTCATTATTGCCAGGAAAGAACTCCAGACGGGCACTGCTGGCTGAAACATGGCAGCCATGTTAGCTGATGTTAAGTAAACACCACGGAGGAAAAGAAGCTGAGGGATAAATGGTCCTGTGAAGCCAAGAACCATCAGCAAAGGTATGCTTCTACGGAAAGGAAAGAAAATTGGAACAGTTGTCTAATTCTAGAGGTGGCTGGAACAGCTTTAACCCTTTAACTCACATGAGTGACCAAGACGGATTTCCTCCTTACAATTTCAATACAATACCAAACAGACAAGTGATGAGTATACACAAAACTATAAGTTAGGGGAAAATCAGTTGATCCAAGACTACATTTCTCCAAACTAGCACCATTAAATTGTATGGCAGACAGTAAGAAGAATTATGAAAGAGATCTTGGGAGTTAAGGTTTAAGAGGATTTTTCTAATTCTTTTTTCTAGTCATAAAAAATGACTCATCAAGTCAGCAATTTTATTTTCGTTGATTGTTAGCATAATAATCCGCTACACTTTCATTATAATCTTACTATAATATGTATCATTTAAAATAATTTTGAGTTACAGGTGCATTGGCTTCGTCTCATGCTGATGAGATATAATTTAGAATATCACTCACTCTCACTGCTGGATTAACAATGATAAAGTAATGTTTCTAACCTGAGAGACGGAAAACTCATGCAATTTTCCTTCAACGAGGAAAGCAGCACACATCATGACTGGAAAAGCTCCAGCATCGCGAAACAGGCAGAACACCAAAGGGTCGGCTTAAGTTTCCTTAACGAATTTTGTCACGATAACGCCATAAGTCCCAAATCCAAGCTGTGCTGAGTGGTTCTCTGTAACTACATTTCACCGTTGGTGACCGGCGGCCATCTTGAATTGATTTCCAGTCAACCTGTTTCAAGTTCCATTTAATCAAACAACTTAATAGTGTACAGAGCAGTAAGACACAAGGATGAAACTCGATTCTAGTCTAGTTAAACATTGATAGTAATCACGTGCATATTGTAACACCGGCTTCATGTAGAAAACATGGAATCATATAGGCAGGTACAAAAGTCGGACCGGATCAACTCGGACCGCAAAGTCCGGGTCGGATCAACTCTGATCAACTCGGAATCAGCTTTAAACAAAAATAGCTGCCAATAAAAAATTATTTGGTATGGAACTAAATTAGCCTCATTAGGCCACGTTACATAGTTTCTGTTTTCTTGCCATTCATACTACAGCTTTTCTTCCCACTCAGCCATCTCCCAAATTGATAAAGCTTATTGCAGCAGTACTTAGTTTCAGTGGCTTACATATTTCAATAATAATATTGTTAATAAAAGGCTGTTGCTTTGTGTGTCAGACAAATGGCAGTAAGTTTGCAAGAACTAATGTTCCACCTGTTCTTATATATATTTTACAGAGGATCTTGTTCAAGCAGAAATGAGACGAATTTTTTCCAGTCCTTCTGTGGGAAATCCACAGTCCTGTCCTTCCCAATCAATTGAGGATCATAGTGCTTTGGCCAAGAATGCTGTTACGTCATTGACACAGCATGAATTTGTCGGAGAAACATCTGCTTCAACTAATAACCAACAACTGAAGTCCAGTTCAATCCAAAAAGTAACATTGTAAAGCGCAAACGTGTTGGTGCACCATCGTCCTTTTACAAAGGGAAGACTGTGCCATCTAAATCTAGCAAAACCGTTGTTAAGGAAGAACAAAGAAGACTTGTGGCCTTGAACTATCCTGGTAAAAAAGCTCCTCGTGTTGATACGTTTAAAGATGATTTAGTGGTGTTTGATGGTCTGATAAGATTTCTTAATAATGATACATGTACAGAGCAGACCGTAAGGTCGAAGATTGCTTGCAAGTTGAAGCAGAAGAGAGCTTTTTTTGTGGACCTTGTCACATGCCGATCAGAAGATTTTGACTTTGTTAAAGTTGCCAATAAGCGCATCCGTCGTCCAGATGGGAATGATGAAATAACAACTCCTCCTGGGTCTGCTGGTGTTGAAAGAGATCTTGCAGAGATTTTTCATGATGATAGTGATAGTGAGAAATGGCTCGAAGTTTCATGCCCCTGTGTTACAAATATCAGGAATTTACAAGCAAGGTGCTATTTATGTACTTCTGAATAAGAGCTTCACGGTATTCAAGGTTAGTACTTTTCAAAAAGCATGATTTGCAATGTGATTAACATGTACTAAGGTTGGAGTACCAAGCCCTCCATAGTTACAATCTGCCAAATGTAGCAGTAAAATCCAGTCAGTGTTAACAAATTGTGACAGAAAAAAAAACAAATCCCTGATACATAGTTACATAACTAAACAAAAACGTCAATACTGACTCTGACTTCCTATTTCTTCCATAACTTATTAAATTAATAATGTTAGCACATGTAGTTATGATGAACAAATAATATGCACGTAATGGACTAACTGGCAGAAGTTCCTTCCAAACAGTGGATGTAATCTGGGAATTATAAAAGCAGTGGGAGAAAAAATCAGAATCCTACCCTTTCTCTTATGTGCAAAGGAAATTAAAAATTAACATCGATTTTGCTTCTTGTTAAAAAACAAAGCTGCTTGCATGTGTATTCCTCCTTTGTATGATGTCATATTTATCTGAAAGTTTCTTTACTTGGTAGGAAGGTGAGATTGATGATTCAAGTGATAGTGATTTAGAGGTATAACCCATTCAGTCCAGTGACGGCTTGCAATCAACCAGTTGCCTTGGCAAAAAGGGGTATCCTTCAGTGGTGACTGATCATCATTCTGAGCAACATTTGTTGCCTGCACATGACTACCCTTCCACAAGTGGTATCAAAAACTATATATTGTCTGCCAGTGCCTCTTACACCAAACAATGGAAGTTCTGCCACTGATGTACCAAGGACTGACAGAAAGGATGCTCCTTTTGTAGACCAGTTACAAGAGTTGTTTCCCCAGCTATCTGGTAGCACCTTGTATGCCACAGCTCAATCATCATCTACAATGGGTGATGCTATTGACAGGATTCTATTGCTGACCAATGGAGACCAGAAGGAAGGTTACTTTCTCCTCCCTTCTTTTTTGTGACAAATCTTTCTTAGCTGTTAGTGACATCACTTCCCCCACAAAGAAAGGCTTTTTGTTGTTATTTCATATTTTCAAATTAAAGCGTTTATTTCCCTTATAAGTTTATTCCATTGATTTAATTGGTGTCGTGATACTTTCCAAATTATTAGAGGTGGTGGTTTGTATGTGTGTGTTGAGAAGTAGGGGGGGGGGGGGCTGGAACGATAGTCATAGGATCAGAGATGTCAGAAAAGTCAAAATATCTGAATATAATTATAGCAGATTGTGCTTTTTAACTTGACAGCAATGAGTGAACAAAGTACAACATACAAATGAAAATGTGCTTTATTTTGGGTCACTATCTGATAAAATGTTATCCAACCGCTGAATGATTCAACCTGTTTTATAAGCTGTCTGTTGTGGTTTCAGGAAGTCTCCAACTCCTTCATGGGACATTCCCTGGGCCAAGCAAGGATGAAATAACAACTCCTCCTGGGTTTGCTGGTGTTGAAAGAGATCTTGCAGAGATTTTTCATGATGATAGTGATAGTGAGAAATGGCTCGAACTTTCATGCCCCAGTGTTACAAACGAGCAAAGCATTCCTCATGCCGGTAAATAATCCCCCTTTCAGAGAGCTTGTCATAACCAACTTGTTGTCAATGCCTAGAATCTTAAAATGGGACTTTTGATTCTAGTCAATGAACATTTTAATATCAACCTTGAATACAATATTATGAACCACTTATTAAGTGAGAGTGAGGACTTTACGGGAAAATCTCAAACTGAGACCTTGCCGTATTGACTGAGTGATAGCGAGGTCAATACGGCAAGGCTGAAGTTTGAGATTTTCCTGTAAAAACCAAACATTTGAGCTTAATAACTTAAGTTGTTTATTAGATGGCTTATTTACTTTGGTTTTGCAAGCCTATAATCGGCCCCTTTGGCATTACGGGAGAGTAATGCCCTACAATTGGCCAATCGGAGCATGCATTATATCGGCTACAAACAAGCCATATAATAAGGCATTTTAATAGCTTGTTTGGCTTATTTTTTCACTTATCTATAGTGTGGGAGGTGCAGTGACCTAATGGTTAGAGTGTTTGACTCCAGGTCAGATGGTCCGGGTTTTGAGCCCTCACCAGGGTCATTGTGTTGTGTTGGACAAAACACTTTACTCTCATAGAGCCTTGCTGCACCCAGGAGTTTAATTGGGTAGTGGCAAATTGTTGGGGCAACCTGACAGAATGCTGATGAGTAACCTGCGATGGGCCAACATCCCATCTAGAGAGAGTAACAACACTCCAAGCCATTTCATGCTACAGAAACTGGAGTTAAGTGCCGGCAGCTGTATGAGCTCGTTTGGCTCAGAAAGGCTTTTAGTTATCTATAGAACCAGTTGATTTTATCAGGAAATATTGTTTTTATTTATTTTTCGTTTGTGCCTTCATTTCAAGATAAATGATAGATTTTTTTTTCACCCTTTTTAGCCTGTAAGAAGGAAACATGCGTTGACTCTCCAGAACATGTGATGGCCGAGTCTAAGTCTATGACTATTTAAGGCGGTACACAGCTTATAGATTTCAACAGAATGCATAGGTCCATGCTTCAGCAGTTAATGGCTCTGTACAAAGATCCTACTTTGGATATGCGAAAATCGCCTGACGTGAGCTTTCCTGGAAAAATTGCAGCAGATGTTGGAGGTCCTACAAAGGAGTTCTTTCACACTGCTATCGAGGCCCTCTTAAAAATGAATCCTTTCTACCGAATGCAGTTATTTACAGGCGAGCTAGGTCATTGTGTTCCGATATGCAACATGGATGCTTTATCAAGTGGCTGCTGCCTGATGGTGGGCAAACTTTTAGCGCGCAGTTTTTTGCATGGTGGGACTGGGCTAATTGGTCTGGCACCTGCTGTGGTAAAGTACCTAACGTCTGGCTCAGTTGATGAGGCAAAAGACGTGGTAACAACTGCTGACATTCCTGATGTAGACATACGATAGTCATATAGTCATACTGTACATTGCTAAATCATCAGTGTTTTTTCAGTGCATTAATTTTTGTAAGACTAACTTTTTCATTTGTTGTTGGAGATGAACAAACTAGCAAAACTATGTTACACACGATGTTGGTATTCATAACAGGATGCCAGACTCTGCAGTCTGTGGAGAAGATGTACGTGATGTTTAACAGTGATCATAAGAAGTTATATTTAGAATCAGATAGTTGTTTCAACAGAGTTCATCTTCCTTTGTGTCATAATAATACGTACCAGGAATTCTATAATGCTTGCCTTACATCACTGGAATTTGGTGGGAAGGGGTATGGTCAATTTTAACACGCCTCTCTGTCAAACGTGTGGAACAGTTTAAATTTGTATCGCTCGTTTTGCAGAACAAGTTTGGTTACACTTGTGACACAGTGGTTCAACGAGTTTGATAATGCCAGTTATCATCTCATGTAGCGGTAAAATGTATACCGACTTTGTTCAAGTTACAGTTAGCATCACCTATGTAATCTAAACAATGGAATGTTCTATATTCAGTGGTGTTTATCATTCCGAGAAGTATTTCTTATACAATGACTACGTTTCTTGGATTATTAAAAGACCGATGTTTGTTATTTCTAACTAAGACTACCTTTAATGAGGTTAAAACAATAGGGAGTATACATCCATAATAGTCGGCACCATAGTAACCTGCGATCAAACGAATGTTTCCACGCTGTCATTTACTCTTCTCATGCGAAATGGGGTAAGAAAAGTTATTTAAAATGCAAACCCATTGACCGGATGGTTAATACCATCAATATTTTTGACTTTCTCTGGTTCTCGCGCGACTTAGACTACGAACAGTCCCGCATTTACGGATAGTTACGAGGGCAAACCACACGCGAACGTGAAAATCACCTCGAGGAGACGTGTCACGGCGGCAAGAAAAAGTGATTCTCGATCACGCGTGTGGGTGCGCTTCCCACTCCACTGCATGGCACTGCTCGTATTCTACGTGTGGCTGCAAGTGTCTGTTACACAAATGCAATTGAACAAAGGAATAAAATTCAACACAATAGAGAGGGCATCATGAAGCTTCCCTGTCTACTTTTTTTTTGTTAATTTTTAGCATCAACAGTCCATTTCTTTAGTTGTGAAAGCGAGGGTATTCTTTCACCAAATACCAGCATTGCTAACGAGGTCAATTTAGAGTTAAACTTCAGTGATAAAAGAACTGGCCAAAAATATCAAAAGCAAGCCCGTTTGTAATATCGATTGAAGACCCCGGATAACACCTTATAACAGCAGCAATTTTGCTCTAAAAGCAAGTTTATATACTACAGGCACGATATATGGTAGCCTAACTATCACGAGTTGCAGGCCTTCTAATTAGATCACGCACTCGAAGATATACATCAATTCCATAGTTGGGACTTGACTGAAGAGGGTCCTCGAGATGTAACTGTTGAAGGCCTTCCTCACTGAGATTTACCTCCGTGATCGGAATCTGTATGTCACCCTGATCGAATTCATTAGATTCGGGCCCCTCTGGATCTTCTCCAAACGAGTCTATTTTACCATTGACAATATCTTGTATGGCGGTGTCCCTTGCATGTGACTAGGAAATGATGCCATTGGTCCATATCATTAAAGGTGTCCGCCTGTGTTCGGTGCGGAGATCATGGCGATTGTAAGCTTCAAGAAATTCAGCTACAGCCCTGTTGATGATTGGTACGAAAACATAGTGCAGTGCAAACAAATCTATGTCAGACAAACAGTCGAGCTCAAAGTTATCTTCAAGAAAATAGAATATAGAATAGTAGAGTTGTAAAACATGAACAAATACTTCTCGCCATAGTCTTTCTATTCGTTGGTTATGAACACTAAGACCGGCAATATGACTGCCTCGGTCGAGCCCGCGCACTTCTATCATATATCTCGTAACGTCGACGTTTTCGCCTCCTCTGTCTGACCTTACGCGCGATGGGATGCCGTAGCGAGCTGTCGCTGACAGGAACAGTGCAATAACGGTACTTGCTGGATTGTTATTAGAGCAATGCATATATGTTATAAGTCTGGAGTAACCATCGATAGCCCCGTGTATCACCATCCTCCATCGGATTAAGCTATGATGGCCATCAATGTGCCAAAGGGCGTTTGGACCTGAAACACTGAGTACGACGGCGGATTACCCTCATTCTTCTCATGCAGACATTTACAGGGTCAACACGAATCATTGACAAACGGGCCCTTTCGCGTTGAACATGTATGCCTAGTCTCCTTAGGTGCCGGCCCTCGAAGAAAACTGGCCATTAGCTTAATTCAACGATCATACCTCAGACATCTTAAAAACGTGTTTGTTTTGAAACTTTGAGAATTTTCTTTTTGAAATTGCAAAAAATGTTTTCTGTTGAATTTAACGTACCGAAAATGGTGAAAAAAGTATCTCCGTTTATGTCACAAAATGGTATTGAAATGAGATTCAATTTTGCATGAAACTAAATCTGTGCACACTTTCTAGCTAACACGTTTTTCAAAACTGGATAAAAGCCTGCCACATTTTGAGTTTCATAGCTCATTTTCTTTCATAGCGAATACCTTGTTTTTGACAGGTGTCAATTGACAATAACACGGTTGTCCAATATTAAGGATGCATGACTTGGTCGACCTGCCGCTCACCATGTGTTGACTATGAAAAAAGGGTTGCATGGTTTTCTATTTCTATGCATGCATGTGGTTCTGTCCCTGTATTTATGATGCATGATTCTGTCGGGCATCTTAGCACATTTTGCGGGCTAAAATGGAGAATTGGGAGGCTAAAATATATTTTAGCCCGCTACAATAAACCTATAATAAATAATTTCAACACTAACAAATAAGCTTTATCGAGCTTTCCTTTCCCAACTTTATATGGCAAAATTTTGTAATTAAATTCAATTAATTAGTTGAAATTCTGGTTCGCGTAAGAGTAGTTTTCAATTGAGTGTCGTAAAACCAAAACCAAAGTTGTCACATGAAGTTGACACAAAGCGCAGGAAAACGAGTGCCAACGAGAGTCACGATAGGTTTCACTTGCTGGAAAACTTGGCTGGCTCAAGGCTAGACAGAGTCGGAGTCGTAGTCGGAGACGTAAGAGCGCTTATGACCTAGTGAAAATCGAAAATCGAAGTCATAAGCTCGACGGAATCGGAGTCGGAAGAATCAGAAAGTTTCCATTTCTTCCGATTCCGTTTACGACTCCGTCGCTTATGATCCAGTGAAAACTATATTGTCGGAGTCGGAAGCAGAAGCGGAAGAATCAACCAATCACAACGCCCGGAAACGAACATTGTGATTGGTTTATTCTTCCGCTTCTGCTTGCGACTCCGACAATCTAGTTTTCACTAGATCGTAAGCGACGGAGTCATAAGCGGAATGGGTGTTCTGCTTCCGACTCCGTCGGTTTGATTTTCACTAGATCGTATCACTTTACGCTTCTGATTATGACTCCGACTACGACTCCGTCGCTAGTGAAAACCAGCCTTTAATGCTCACTTGGTGGCTAACTTGCTGATTCACTTGGTTCACTCCGTGGTTCTCTTGGTTCAGTCGCTTAATCAAGTGAACACACAAGAGAACCAAGTGAACGTGAGCGGTTCAACATTATTTCGTTCTGTAACACTTGAAATTTACGATAAGTTCCGTTTAAACTGATCATTTGTTTTTCGTTCAGCTGGGCATTTACGCACTGCAATTTTAGCTGATACAATATAGGTACCCTATCTAAGGATCGCACCGGGAACACAATGCAAACAGGGACAAAAAGGATACCCTATCTAAGGATCGAGAATCTCAAAAACCCTACCCTATCCGGCGGTACATACCTATAAGCTACATAGGCCAGATAAGGGAGTACCCCCCTCGGGGAGAATTGGACAAGGATTCTAGTATCAGATATGGTTTCCAAGGTTTTATTCATGTTTAATTGAATTGTCAATCTATCTCCTTACACAAAGTAAATACAGGATCCATTCTTGAAACCATAATCGATTAGCAAATGGGAATGGCTAGTGGTAAATGACAACTGTTCAGCTTGTGATCTTGTTACCTTCTTTAACTCAAAAATTATGGAATATCACTTCATGAGTTTCAGAGATAGATTGAGCACTACCAATTTCAAGTCACTGACTTTTAAAAGTTGGATTCAGTGTTTGTTGGAAAACTGAAACATTGATCAGGAGTGAACCGAAAAAGATTCTGCGATGCAAAACTTGCGGCGCAAGGAAAAAAAACACAAATCCTTACAAACTTTAACTTCTACATCTGGTGCCCTAAAAATGGTAGTCTCATAAATTTATTTAATGGTCTTATCATTTGTGGTTCCTCCAAAGTTGCGTCTCACAATGTTTGTTCAAAAGATGTAAAACAGCCATAAAATGCACAAAATCTATCGTGTTTTGTCTCTCAACGCTTTCGGTTGGTTGGTGATCGCAAAATCAAGAAATTAACTATTTATGGCTACCGCTACTTTGGACGGGGCCCTTCTTTCGCGTAGCTAGAATGCGGACCGATTTCATAAAATGTAAGTGTTTTTTTTTTTAAATACATGNATGCACCACAGACAGACAGTACTGCCGAATTATGAAAGGCAAGAAGCACAAATGGCAAAACTGTATAAAAACAAAGGGTATACCTTTAAAAAGTCCTTTTATTCCTCCCATCTTCTTCACCATTGCTGCAAACTTGGTATATTGTGACAGCAGCTCTTGAACCTCTCGGACCGACACGCCACAGCCACGTGCTACACGTGTGGAACGACCAGGTTGGCGAGAAAACAGCTTTGCACCATTAGGACTGTCAAGCTCTAAGAATTAGTAGAACATTTGCATTTCTACAGGTTAGTTTTTGTGGCAGGAGGAAAACTGGAGAACACAAACAACAAACTCAACCCACATATGGCTGGCACTGGGCCAGAATTAAACAAGGGACACATTATTGGGAAGAGAGTGCTCTCACCACTGCACCATCACTATTTTTCACCACTATTTAAATTCATTATTTTCTGTAATAAAAAAAATTTGGCCAATGGTGAGGTCACCCACAATGCACTCTGGTTTATGGTGGACTTTAATGACAGCCCTGGGGTAGTACCTTCATCATTCATGCTGTCCATAATGGTCATCAGCTTTTTTAATCTTGCCATTGATTCCTGTTCATTTCCTTTGGACAGAAAATCACTACTGAAACCTGGAATCATACCCTAAAATAACAAAAATCATAAGAATAATGCTATTGTTAATGACCTATTCAAACTCATGCTCAAAATAGTAACTCTCCTTACTGACACCTTCATGTTTGTCTTTAGGATAGTCCTGAGCATTTGGCAGTTCATCACAATTTTATATCTTAGTGGATAAGTAGCTTTATTATTGTCACTTGACTACTTGATAGTTCAAAGAGAAAGGGAGATGGAGACTGACACACAATCCACAGGTGAAAAGGACGGGGGGGGGGGGGGGGGGG